GACAGGAAGAAAGATTGAATAGGGAGGTAGCATAAATTGCTGCTTACCCAAAATTACGTGGGTAATCCTGAAGAATTTAACAAAAGTAACAGGTGCCAGTCTCCCGAACATAAATAATGAAAATAGTGATTGGAGTAGGAGAACTGGAATTGGAGTCTCCTACCTCACTGCCCTAACCACTGGATTACTGAGTCATTCCCTCTCTCACTCTGCCCCATGACTGTTTTAACTATTTAGTCACAGTGGAACAGCTTCAAGAGAGGAGAGTGAGGGAGCTACATCAGAATATCCCCTCGTGCAGTGATTAGAGCAATTCCTTGAGAAGGGGAGACCCTGTTCAAATCACCCTCCCCGGGAGGAGGTGGAACTGAACCTAGGTCTCCCACGTCCCAGGTGAGTGCTCTAATCACAAGGCAGCTCCAGCTCTTGCCATTTTGTGTGGCGCACAGGCGGTGCTTAAATCATTTCCTCAGGAAATGCCTTGGGGGCCTAAGCCGTCTGACTCCAGGTGGCCGGTTCCCATTTGTGGATCACTAAGCAGAGCTAGGTACTTATCCTTGAGAGAGATGAGGCTAATCACACACCTCTAGCTTAAGTGGCTCTCAGCCTAGCATATTGGCTCTTGTGGATTTCATTCTGGGGCCCCTATTTCTCCCCATTCATTGAATAGGAGCCTTGGTGCCTAACTTGGCTTTGTGTATCACAGTGGTATCACACTGTGATTTTTTTCTAGGTGCCTAAAAGTTAGGCACTGTGACACTCAGAGTAGGAAGTCCCTTCATGGATCTCACCCTTGATTCTCTATAGATGGATAGGAGAAGAATGAGAGAATTGTGCAATTGAGAAGAGTCAGCTGCATGCTAATGGTTCTTTTGCAGAAGCAGGGCAAGGGCAAGCTCAGTGACACTAAAAGATCATCAGTATAGACTGGATGAAACAAAATGCTTTGTGCCACCCTGTAATTCAAGCTGTGTGGCTTGTTCATGCAGAATGTAACTGAGGCCAGTAGTATAGAAAATTAAGTATACATTTTAAAAAATGAGTGGCAGGTAGATGTGTGAAGGCCTCTTACTCCTCATCCTTCAGTGCATTCAGCAGCTGGTGCCAGACATGAATATCCTCTTTCATGGTGTAGCTGCATGATTAAATGCATTAGGAGGGTTTACATTCGTCTGAAGCATCTGTTGCTGACCACTTTTCAAGACTGATAAAAGAGTAGATGTTGCATTGATTTAAATATGCAGATCCACAAAAGCTGGAATCATACTGCAGATCATAGATGATCACAGCAGGAGTCAAGCTCCTCCCTTGGAAAAGGGTGAATGAACTCATCAGACTGTGGCTGTATCTTCCATAAGCCCGTTCAGGGGAGTAACCCTAGTTGAGGACTACCTGAAACCTCTTGCATTAGTCTTCTGGTGCTGCCTGCATGCTGGATTTGGAACCACCACTTCTTAGTGCTTCTGTATCTCTACTCTGGGGCAGTGCTGGGAGATTGGAAATGACCTGATCATTTTTTTTCCCCTCCACTTTTTTGCTCTTGCTCTTTCTCTCTTCACTCTGTAATGGTGAATATAGCAAGATGGGAGCAGTTCAGTATAAATCCCACCTTCCCTGCCACCTCAGAGTCCACTGTAGCAGAGGGCAGGACATTGCTGCCCAGGGGCAAAAAGTATTGGTGCAGTCCAGCCACTCCCATGAGAAACCCTGGGCATACAGCCGAATAACCTTAATTCACGAGTTAAGTAGCAATGCTGTCTTTCTCTCCTCTGCCCATGCTGCTTGCCCTGGTCTGTTTCCTCCAGCCCCAAGAGTAGTAGCCTGACTGCTAGTCTCAAAGATGGGACCGTGTTGTAGCTTAAGGGTGAAGTTGGTCCTTTTACTGTATCCCAAACCTCTGTAAGAAAGTGACTTTAAAGCTATTAGGCCTGGATCAATCAATCAATCCTTAATGTTTCCAGAGCAAAACATGAACCATATAGCATCCAGGGCAGAAGATTTTGTCCAGTACTAGCTTGGCGTCCTTTTAATAAGGTCCTATAAAAACCCCAATGGTGATGTTTTTATTATGTGTTTAAATTCCACTTCTTCAGGCTCTCCTCCTTATATGTTCCCTAGTCCATGCAGCTCTCAAACCTGGGGGAGGAAGTATCAGAGGCGTAGCCATGTTAGTCTGGATCTGTAAAAAGCTACAGAGTCCTGTGGCACCTTATAGACTAACAGATGTATTGGAGCATGCCTCTGACAAAGTGGGTATTCACCCACGAAAGCTTATGCTCCAATACGTCTGTTAGTCTATAAGGTGCCACAGGACTCTGTCGCTTTTTGGGGGGAGGAAGTGCCTCCATACGTGAGCCAGACCATACCTGCATTGTATATGTCAGGTGTGACCAAATTGCGGCTTGTGAGCCACATGTGGCTCTTTAACAGTTAAAGTGCGGCTTGTGGAGCCCTCCATGCCCCCACCCCCATTCTCCACCTACTAGCTACCTGCCCTGTGGGGAGGGGGGTCTCAGGGCTTTAGCCCTGCATGAGGGCGTCGGGACACAAGATGTGTTCCCCAGCAGGCAACGCTCTGTGGGGCAGGTTGTGCATGTCTTGCGGCTCTCGAACTTCTGAAGATTATCTTATGTGGCTCGGAGGGTCAATAAGTTTTGCCAGCCCTGGTATATGTGGTCAACCAGGGCTACGGAGAGAGGGCCTTAACTGACTTCCTGTTAGCAAGACCATTTTTAAATATGAATGCTGGGTTCAAAACACAACTCTTCCTAACACTTCTATGGTGCTGGTGTAGACAGGGCTTCTTGTTCCACACCCTTCAACAACTTAATTCTACAACTGTCTTAAAATGAATGAGGCAGTGAGCAGAGACCAAGGGGTTCCTTCCTGGGGTACTCTGGCATGGTACAAATGTACCAGGCTGACAGCTGAAAAGAGGGCTCAGGTCTCCATCAGCATCTGTGCAATAGTTTAGGCTTCTGAGACTCCAGTTTACAAAGTAGCAGCCGTGTTAGTCTGTATCTGCAAAAAGAACAGGAGTATAAACAGATGTATAAAGTGGAACCTATGCATCTGAAGAAGTGAGCTGTAGCCTACGAAAGCTTATGCTGAAATATATTTGTTAGTCTCTAAGGTGCCACAAGTACTCCTGTTCTTTTTGAGACTCCAGTGTTGCTCTGAAACCACTCTGCAGTGGCTTACTGCATTTCATGGTATGCCACAGCTGGGGGATCTGTAATGCTTTGTATTTAGGTGTGATTATCCTGCCCCTTGTGACACTCAGTTCGGATGTACTGCACATCTCTATAGTGTACTCTATACCTTTAGAGTAGATGACTCCAGAGCTTTGTCTTGGATGTAGTTTGTGTTTAGCAGGAGAAGGAGAGGTAGGTTATTTGCACAGTAGTAGAAAAAGGAGTTATTAGCTGTGTTGCTGTTACCAGAGCTGTTTTATGTGAAGAATGTTGCCATGGTATTGCAGCTAAAACCCTGAACCAGACTCTGACCCCATAAGTCACCTGAAAGGCTGGTTCGCATGTGGTACATATAAACTGGAAAATGAGTGTCCCTAAAATAGTCATACTATTTGCCAAGGAATCCCAGGGTAGAAAAGAATCCTACATTGCTGAGGGCCAGAAGTCTGGACTAGATAGGAAGAAGTAGGCCTGATCCAACTGCAGAGGCTCTTGCTACTGACTTGGGCAGGTTGTTTTAGGCACTTATTCCTTGTGATTGAAGTATCCAGGGGACAGCTGTAAACCGGGCATGCTCTTCCCCCACCCTGTGTCTTACTTGTGAGTCTGCTTTGGTGAAACAGCACCATGTGCTCTAATAGTCTTGCACTGTTGCCCTGTATCTAATGTATAGAATCTGTATAGGAGGGAGCCTGTGATCCAACTCAGGTCAGTTGTTGTTCTTGCTTGGCTCCTGCTCTGCCAAAACAAGGTGGAGTCTGTATGCAGCCAAGCTGTGCTCCTCGGGGAGTTTAAAATGCTTGCTGGTCTTCTTAACAGATGTTTATTCATATCACAACCACTCTCCCTAAGGGTGGTGCCGAGGCACTCGCTGTCTGCTCAGGAGCAAACCAGCTTAGGCCAAGAAAGCACCTGAATCTCCTATACCTCTGCAGAGCAGAGTTTTCCCTCTAGCCTCCAGGGCAGGGCTGAGGTGGTGCTAGTGGGACTTGCATAGTCCCTTCCATACACATCAGTATTTATCCTGTTTCTGTTACTCTGTGGTGCAACAGAACCATTCACATTACATCACTGATACAGCTCAGAACTAACCAAGCAATGAGGGGTTTCTTTCTTTATGGACTGTTTCAAGTGTGTCCCTCCCTCCCCCCTTTTTTTTTGGTAATTAACCAGTTGTGGGTCTGTTTTTCTATAGTCAACACAGAACCTGTATCTAGATTTAGTTCTAACTGCACCTGTGTATCATATCAGTATTTCCTCCTCCTTTCACATTAGAAAATAAAATTGTCTGCACAGCTCTTGCCTTGTGGAGAGAACAAAATGAAAACTGCCTCTGATTTCATTGTTGATCATAAAACCAGAGCCCAGGTGCTGTTTAAACTTCTAGTCTGGCTATATGGTGAGGCTAGCTCTCTGGAAAAGACATGCATCCTCTTCAAGCACCAAAAGGGAATAAATACAGGTGGCTTTCATAGGGAAGTGGAAAGAACCCTAGACCATTCCCCTCTCATTCATCTTCTGGGTTGGTCAATGTGCCCATGCTAGCTAAAGCCTACTCAGAGAGCAGGAATGAAATACATGGTGTCCTAGCACCAGAGGAAAGGAGCTGAGCAGCCAGGCTCTCTTCATACTGCTACTCAAGCTGAGGCAAACTTCAAGATGATGTGGTGGGCCAAAGGGTGCTGTGG